GGTATTATTCGTTATTAGTGGGATTCATCTGTAATTAAGTCATGACGTTATGTAAGTAAGTAATTAATAATAATAATAATAATAATAATAATAATAATAATAATAATAATAATAATAATAATAATAATAAACCTTACCGACCGTTCATAAAAAATCAGACTACTGTAGTATGCTATTATGGTAAATTAATGTAGTCACCCCTGAAAACTCCCATGTCATCATTTTCTTTAACCCCCGGATAACCTGATGTGTTATCATTGCACGAACTTTGCCACTTTTAACATGATTTACACCAAAACTTTATCACATAGACCTGGCCACGTGTTGATCAAGTCTGCCAAGTTTGGTGCAAATCCACAAACCTGTTCTTAAGTTATTTTGAAGACAGACAGAAAGACAGTGAGACAGACAGACAGATAAGAGTAACTGTCTACCTGATAGATCAAGAAAGACACTAAAGGCAAATAATAATAATATAAAACAACCTCAGACAAAAAAAGTCTCACTCTGTCAAATATTTAACTAAAAAATATTGAACGAAATATCCAAATATACTACCACAACAATTACATTATTACAACAAAGAAAACTATATCAAGCAACCTAGGTATAACATAATCCTAAATTAACAACTAAATAAAACATAACTAAAAAAAATTAAAGTTGTATAAATAAAGTTGTATTTCCACCTTTATAAAAATTTCTACTGAAGACAGAGAGAGAATGTGTGTTCCAGGGAAGAAGGGTATACTCCCTCAGGGGGACTCGCTCGTAAACAATGATTGGGTTTGTGCTGTCGGGGTGTGTAAAGAACACCATGTGACATTTCCTATGGGAGGAAAGGGTGTGTTAGGACATGGTGAAGTCTATTGTTCTATAAGAAATGAGCGTGTGGGATATGGTGGCTGTCTTGTTTAGGAAATATGTGTTTGGGACATGGGGTTATGTAGTCTAATGGGAAATATGTGTTTAGGATATGGTACTGTATCCAATTTAATAGGATATAGGTGTTTTGGGGGGACGTGGTGCTTGGAAAGTGACTGATAAAAAAAATTAAATAATTCTCTGCATTCTTTGATTGGATCTGTCAGGCAAAGATTACGTCACTTGTCTCCATAATATCAAGTGATTGGGGGATTGGAAAAGTTTCGAATTAATGATTGGATAATAGTTATTTTTTTCCTAATGGGAGTAGAGATTAGGCAATTGAAACAGCGTCGATTCAAAGATTAGGTGAGATTAGGGGATTAGAGGAGGAACCAAGGATACAAACATTGGATCATCCTCTCTGTAAAGTGATTGGAAGTGCCCAATCTGATTAGAATGGCCTTGACTAAGCTCCTATACGGACGTGGGATTGGAAGACGACTCGTAGGTTATTAAAAGAAACCAAATCCTATGGTTGACTGGATGTTCAGGATGGCGTGAGTCCTTTACGTAAGATCTCTCTCTCTCTCTCTCTCTCTCTCTCCTTCACTCAGTCACACTCTCCCTCCCTCTCTCTCATACACTCTCATAAATATCAGCTTCCTGTCACAAGTGATATACTGACCCAACGAAGTACAGACCTAACCTAATTCTCTGTGGCGAGAAAGAACAGCTCTCTCTCTCTCTCTCTCTCTCTCTCTCTCTCTCTCTCTCTCTCTCGAAATTCCGTTTCTTAAATTTTATCATAGTGAGTTACAGGTTGGGAGAGTCTCGCCCCAGAAGGTATCTTGTTGCACGGGCTTTCTTGCAAGACGGTCCTGAAGTTATCTTGTTGCAGAGGCTTTGTTGCAAGCAATGTATGAGCCGTATTTTCTTAACCGCCTCCTTGCAAGAGTTCCAACAGTTATCTTGTGGCAGAGTCGGTCGAGATGGTATGTTGCAAGGCGTATGAAGTTATCTTGTTGAAGAGAGTTTGTTGCAATATGTTTCTGAGTTATCTTGATAGTGATGATTTGTTGCAAGGCTATCTGAAGTTACCTTGTTGCAGTGTTTATTGTAAAGTATTCCATAGTTATCTTCGTAGGAGTACTTTTTTGTAAGGCGTTCTAAAGTTATATTGTTGTAGAGTTTGTTGCAAGTCATTATCTTGAAGTGAAACTATATTGGTCGACGACCGAATTCATCCTACTGCATATCATTTGTTGCAAGGGTTTTTGAAGTCCTCATGTTGCAAAAAGTTAAGTGCAAGGAATTCCGAGCTATCGAGTTGCATTTTTTTCTGCAAGATGTTGTGAAGTCATCGTGTTGCAGATAATTTGTTGCATGACATTCACATTTTGTTGAAAGACGGACTTACGTTGACTTCTTGCAAGACTTATTTTAAGTTACTTTTTGCAAGACGTCCAGAATCACCCGGTTGCAACACATACCCAACGTTATCTCCATGCAACATGTTATACATCTTCTCGTTGCAGGGACGCTCTTGCAAAAAAAAACACCTAGCTGAAGTCATCTTGTTCCAGAGAATGTTTCACGGATCCCCTTTTTGCAAGACGTTCACAAATTATTTCGGTGCACAGGATCTTCTTGCAACATTTCACGAGTTTCTTGGCACGAGATGATGAAGAATATGTTGAAGTATATTTCTTGAGTAAACTCCGCATTTTATATTTTTCCAAAAATTGAATGTAATATTTTTCACTTGTTTTGCGTATGTTTCTTTTTTTCCCCTAGGTGATATATTTCCCCCATCATTTTGTAAGTTTTAGGGAAATGTGAAGTGTTTTGAGGAATTGTGAAAATTTTTAGGGAAATTTTGAGTGTTTGGGGGAATTACGAGTGTTTTATTCAAACTTTGTGTGTTGGGGGATTTATTGAGTAATTCAGGAAATACCGAAAGTTTTAGGGAAAAACTGTGTGTCTAGGGAAAGAGACTTTTGGGGAACTTTCAGTATTTGACTCATTTATATAGTCCCGTACACAGGAGAGAGGTGGGGTGGAGACAAGGGGGGGAGGGAGGTGGAGGGGGGGTTAGGTATTCCGGGTCAGACACAGGACGGACACACGAACTGACCAAGACACGACATAAACTTGTACAGTACGCTTCAGGCCGGTGGACTGGGAGGGTAAAGGGGCTAACACTACACCTCACAGCCCAGAGGTTACAAAGTCTTATAGGTGTTGACCCATGACACAGGAAAACGGGAAGAGTTGGGTGAATTTTTCCCTTTTCATTTGGTGTTACACTGCATCAAATTTTCCCATAGAATACTGATTGTTTTAGGGAAATACTGATTGTTTTAGGGAAATACTGATTGTTTTAGGGAAATACTGATTGTTTTAGGGAAATACTGATTGCTTTAGGGAAATATTGATTGTTTTAGGGAAATACTGATTGTTTTAGGGAAATATTTATTGTTTTATGGAAATACTGATTGTTTTAGGGAAATACTGATTGTTTTAGGGAAATACTGATTGTTTTAGGGAAATACGGATTGTTTTAGGGAACCAAACTTAGCTGTAAAAGAAAAACCTCACTGTTTACAGGAAATATTGTGTTTTAAGTAACAATGGTAGGGAAGGAGAAAGAGAGAGAAGAGAGAGAAACAAAAAAGAGAGAGAGAGAAAGAGAATAGGGAGTAATATCCAGAAAATCAAAGATAAATGAGAGAAGGTGGGGAAGGGAAGGAAATGAAGCGAGGGAAAAATATCTGGAAATAAATGTTCTGCACGAATGATAAACAGGAATAATGTTGGGAGAAAGAAATACCTGCAGGGAAAAATGTCCAGGGAATAAAGTGTTTGAGGAAAAAAGTGTTGGGAAGAAATTGTTAGGGGGATGAAAACTGTCGAGGAAGAATGTCCCGCCAACCACTATTGAACAAACATCCACCACCATTCAACCACAACTCAACTACCACTCAACCACACCACCCACCAACATTCAGCCACCACCAACCACAACTCAACCACCACCAACCACAACCACCACTCAGGTACAGGAACAGGGAGATACAGGTGACTCTCACTAATTAGCTCAGGTAGAGGTTATCTTATACCAGAGACGATTTTTGAGAACTTTTGGAAGACGCTTGGAGGTAGACACAATTAGCGGAGAGTAAAAATGAGAGAGATAAGAGAGAGGGGGAGAGAAGGATTAGGTGAGGGGGAGAGAAGGATTAGGTGAGGGGGAGAGAAGGATTAGGTGAGGGGGAGAGAAGGATTAGGTGAGGGGGAGAGAAGGATTAGGTGAGGGGGAGAGAAGGATTAAGGAGGGGAGAGAAAGGATTAGGTGAGGGGAGAAAGGATTAGGTGAGGTTAGGTGAGAGAGAGAGAGAGAGAGAGTGGGGTATGAGAGAGAGAGAAAGAATAAAGAATGGAAAGACAGACAGAGAAACACAAAGACAAAAGGAAAGAGAGAGAGACAGAGACAAAAACAGACAGTCACACAGAGATAACAAGATCAAAAGCACAATTAGGATAAAAGAGAATTAAAGAGACATATAGGATAAAGAAAGGAAGGAATGGATAAATGTATGAATAGCGAGAGTAACAGAGAAAGCAATAAATAGAGAAAGGGGAGAGAGAGAGAGAGAGAGAGAGAGAGAGAGATTTTACAATACAAACAAAAAAATAATATATATATATATATATATATATATATATAATTACAATATTTAATCTATTTCCCCCAATTAATTTTCTAAAACTTAAGAAAAATAATTAATCTCAGTTTGTTAATTTTAAGTCTCTTGTAATCATTATTTCGTTATATCAGATTATACGGAACATATCAGAGCATATTACAGCATACTGGACCATAACATACTTGGGAAATATAACCGAATATACTTCAATACATCTCTCAGGGGACATACCACAGCATACCCCCCAAAATATATATAACCTCTCCCAACTTCCCCAAGAGCATACCAGACATACTGTAGCATACTAGACTGCAGCCTATTCAGAAAATATGACCGACCATACTTTACGTAGATCTCCCTGGGGGCATAGCCAGGCATACAGAGCATACTAGACCATAACATACTACAAAATATAACCAAACATACCTGTGTACACCTCTCCTGGGACATACTTCTGAGGGTTGCCACTTATCTTGATCTTAAAGTCATTATCGCCTGGAGTCTTTGGGGCTTCCGTCCTTAATGGCGAACGATGGCAGTTGCTGCGTTGGGCGGAGATAGTGCTAACCCACGACCCGAGCACTGCCACCACCACCACAACTGACGCCACCCACGACCAACCCATGGCTCCTGTGGGTGGGGGGAAGAGAAGATGTGGGTGGTTAGATGGGTGTAAAGAGGGAGGGGAGGTTGTTTTGGGGAGAGAAAGAGGGGGAGAGAGAAAGAGTAGGGTGTGGGTAGGGAAAGAAGGAGTGATTGATATGGTAGGAGGAGAGGAGGAAGGGGGGAAGGGGAGGTTGTAAAGGGGAGAGAAAAGGGGAGATATGGATAATAAATGAGGGAGAGGGGAGGTTGTTAAGGGAGAGAGAAAATACGGAGGATGTGGGAAGATAAGGAATGAGAGGTAAATGTACAGTATTTATCAGGTGCCACTAAGAGGGGTCAGACCAATACTGTTATTATCCACTCTGTATTTTTCTGGCTAAATAATTCATTTTCAGTATCAATGAAATAGTAGTAGTGGTAGGGGAGGGAGTAGCAGGATAGTGGTTGGTGGTAGTGGGAGATGGTGGTGGAGTGAAGCAATGTTGGTAGTTGTGGTTGGTGGGAGATGGTGGTAGAGTGAGGCAATGGTAGTAGTAGTATCATTATAACTAGTATCATCATTATACATCAACAATGACAAAAACAACAACAACAACAACAACACACACACACATCATTGACGTTGCTTTGTACACTGTGGGAGTTACAGCCGTGTATGTGTGTGTGTGTGTGTGTGTGTGTGTACTACTAGCTACAGACCTCCACTGTACTCCAAGGTTCCACTAAGACTACTGATAACAGCTCACCAACCCAATTACTGAACTGATAACACAACACTCACCCAGAAACACACCCAATAGCCACCCCCCAACACTCATCCATAACACACCCAAGAGACCCCCAACACTCACCCAGAAACACACCCAAGACACCCCCCATTCACCCAGAAACACACCCAAGACACCCCCAACACTCATCCATAACACAAGAGACCCCTAACACTCACCTAGAAACACACCCCCCCAACACTGAAACACACTGAAACACACCCAAGACACCCCCCAACACCCTGCCCCGCCACCCATGACTGACCCTGTTATTGGCGTCAGCACAGTTGGCTGTATAAAAAGAGACCTCGGAGTCGGGACTCAGTAGACTGGACTGGAGACGGTCACGCTCAAGTAGAGGTGGGTGTGTATGGGGGAATGTGGGTGTGTGTGGGGGAATGTGGGTGTGTGTGGGTGTGTGTGGGTGTCTGTGGCGGACTATGGGAGTCTTTGAGTGTTAATAATGATAATAATAATTGGTATTTAGTTAATATGACCTACAGTAGTCAACAAAGCTACGAGATCCTAACAAAAATTCCAGTCTTTAAATCACAGCATCTGGTCTTCCATGGAGCTGGATTAACATGGTGTGGCCGCTGGATTAACATTGTAATGATTGATTATCAGACCACAGCCTAAAATTCTCGAACATAATCTAACTTAATGCTAACCTATTCTATCCTAATTCAAACCAAACCAAACCTAACCTAACCTAACCTACCCTAACCTAACTAACCCCATCCCCCCAAATAACGTTAGGGTAGTTAATTAATCTTTAGGTGGAATAATCTAAAGTGGAGATTCTTCAGGTGATCCATTTCATCTCTACTAAATTCAAACATTAAATAATTAATTTGTCTCTATTTTTGGTTAAAAGATCAGAAATACTCAACCCAACGCTCGCCAGAACTTCATGACGAGTAAATAAATAGTTCCCAAACTATGAGAAGGAAACAAAGAGCAAGTTAATATTAGTTAATGTCACTCGAGAACCTTTAGCATAGTTACCCCTCACCCGTCCTCTCTGATGTTCGACGTTTATCCATTCTCTTTAAGGTCAAACTTTCAGCAGAGTATAATAATATATTGAGCTGTTCTAAGGCAAGCCAAACTTGCAGCATATTTATCCTAACTTATTCTCTGTGATGTTAGTTATATTACAAATTTTTCTGGTCCATTTTCTGTGATGTTTGTTAAATTTTTCTGACCCGTTTTCTGTGATGCCAACCCTAACATAAAACACTGGTGTGTTTTCTGTTACACTTTGCCTGTTCTCTTAGACAATTAACAGTTAAAAAAGTTACTCGTGATTGGTTGTGTGTTTTGGCCAGAGAGCACACAAGAGGCTTTGACGAATAATAACACTAATATGATTGCCAAAATGAATAGAGTTCCAATATGTATAAATGGAGAGAGAAATTCATAACCTTTTTCCCACAGTGTCCCTGACGAGCTGTCAAACCATGAGATTTAAAAAACTGCGTTTCTCATTGGGCAAGAAATGGACCAATCAAAATTAACTCCCCCCAAAATGACGTCACCCATCAAAATGAATCAAAGACTTCTGATTGGTCACTGAAGCGACCAATCAATTACGCTCCCGAGCAACGTTACCTAAAAAAAGATAAACCTCAAAGTTTTGACTGGTCGGTGAAAGGACCAATCAGGCGGACTCAAAAAATGACGTCATACTGAGAGAGAAAATCTTATCTTTCTGAATGGTTGAGCCCGAAGAGCCAAGCCAATCAGAATTAAGATATGGCGGAAGTGTGTTTCCATTGGATTTTTCTATACTCTGATACGGTATTACCTCTCTCTCTCTCTCTCTCTCTCTCTCTCTCTCTCTCTCTCTCTCATAACCAAGATGAATTACAATGCCTTAGTAATTTATTCAATTATATTTACCAAGTTAATTACCATAATTAATTACTACATCACAAAATTATATTATGTCTGATTAAGTTTAATTAATTACAAAGATACTGGTGATTACTTTGACCTATAGTATTACCGCGCTAACCTGGTTCATAAGCCACGCCCCTCGTCTGTTGCTACAAATACTGTAGCTCTTTGGTTCACAGAAAATGTTCGTGTAGCTGTCCATTAATTCATACTAAATGTGTTCACAATTGGTAAACAGACTTGTTATTAGCTAAAATAATGTTAAATAAAAGGATTATCAAAATTCAAATGATTTCAAGGCATTAACACTTCAGAAAGGATGTAAGAAAATTTTAAATATTTATTATAAAAGGTCAAAGTCAAAGATGAAAATAGCTTTTAAATGAAGTCTTTTCATTATTTCTTTGTTTTGTACCAAACATAAAACAAACAGAAACAAATGATACCAAACATATAGCACAATAGGTAATGAACTACAGTTTGTATGGCCAGATATTATCCCAAATCATTTATATAATTGTTAGAATTCGATATAAATATGCGCTTATACAGTATATGCACAGTCCGGGGGCAGGGAAACAGCCACTGGACTTGGCGGGAATTTCGCTTCATCTCGACGCACAACAGCCAGCAGACGATGTCAGCTGTGGTACTTCAACAAAAACATTTCTCACGCCCACGACCAGATTATTAAATACTTTATCCACTAACTTGGCATCTCCCTATCTTAAATGCTGTGTTGTGACAATATTTAAATAATAATAAATGCTACGAAGTATTAAGAAGCGATGTAGAGGTTTAACATTTTCATCCTCTCTCATCAAGTATTAAGAAATTTGGTGTAAATAAACAGAAAATATCGGCCAATTATGGACGAGGTATAGTTAATTTATGTGTCATAATATTCTAATGCAAGCTCTACTGTACTGGCAGTACGGGTCAAGTGTCCAGCTGATCTTTCAATGGCGGCTCATCCGTTATCACACCGTCAGGCGCCGGTTGGTAGAACAATACCGCTCTTTCCTCGCAAGCGAGATGTCACGGGTTGATTCCTAGGCCGGTGGAAAGCTGTTTGGACACACTTACCAGCCTCTCTTGGTCCCTGTTCACCTAGCAGCAATGAAGGTACAGTCACCCAAAAAAGTCCTTTCGCGAACCACGATTCAGACTCGTAAACCCGAAGCAGTAAACACTGATACATTATTCTGTCTATAAATGGTTCGGATTCAAGAGTTTGAATCTCGGGGTTCGTGGTTCGCGACAGGACTTTTTTGGGTGACTGAACCTGCTGTAAATCGAAAGTTGCGAATTCGTATTCAGGGACAAGTTGGTGGAGCTTCCAATAACTTGCTTAGACATAAACCATTAACTCTTCAGGCTTCTACGCCCCTGACTCTTCAGGCTTCTACGCCCTTAACTCATGAGACATAAAGGCAAGCATGAACTTAGCATGCTTCCCTGTTGGGCGCTGTAAACGCTTCTGCGCTTCACCTTACACAAGGGTGTAGGGGAGTGCCCAATAAATAATAAAAAAATAAAAATCACCCCATCGATGTGGCCACAAAGTCCAGTGGCTGTTCCCCTGAGCGTTTTACCTCCCTCCGGACTGACTGAGCGTATTTATATCGAGTTTTATCGTTATATAAATGATTTGGGATAATATCCGGCCATACAAACTGTAGTTCATTACCTATTGTGCTATATGTTTGGTATCATTTGTTTCTGTTTGTTTTATGTTTGGTACAAAACAAAGAAATAATGAAAAGACTTCATTCAAAAACAATTTTCATCTTTGACTTCGACCTTTTATAATAAATATTTAAAAATTACTTACATCCTCTCTGAAGTGCTAATGACTTGAAATCATTTGCATTTTGATAATCCAGTTATTTAAGATTATTTTAGAGAATAACAAGTCTGCTTACCAATTGTGAACATCTTTAGTTTGAATAAACTAAATTTTCTAAGTAATTACTACAGTACATTGAGTCAGGAGTGCTTGAGGACATGACATTCTTGCTGTCTGTCTTATCTTTGCTGCTGGCCCACACTGATTAGGCCTCAAGTAGAATATGACTTGTACAGTTGTACTCATGAACCTCTGTCCTGTGTGGCAGTGAACAGTGATACCACCCTCAGTGTCAAGACCTGACTGAATTACTCAGAATAGGCAAACTGTACTACAAGTTTTACCAATGCATTTGTTTGCCGTAAAAATTACCTTCGATTATACTAATGAAGGTAATTATGATAATCATTTAATAAATTACTTCCGTCTGATCAAGTAAATTATATTCCAATGATTTACTGATTACTATTAATTATATTTAGTTTAAGGATTACAACACCAGAAGG